AAGGTTGTTACAGTGTCCATCAAAATCAGTGCATTTTTATACAAGTGAAAGAGACGTCAACTGAATTTGAAAAAAAAATAAAATAAAATAAAAAAAATTTTGGAAAAGCAATTTGGACGCTTTCCATGCATGACAAACTTTCTTAAAGATGTGACTGTACTATCATCAAGACTAGGGTTATAAAGGTACGCAATTCAAATCAGGGCCACAATGAACACACACACACACACACAGATGTATTACACTACTGTCCACACACATGCACACTCCTACAAACAGCTGTATTAGACTAGTAACGACACACACATATAGCTGTATTATACCCCTGCGCACACACATGTTCAGAACCAGAATTTTCACACACACACACACACAGCAGCATTACACCACTGTGATCAAACACGCTAAATAAGGCGGACGGACCCCTTGACGAGCTCCACCACGATGAAGTCGCTGCCGTCTCCGCTGTTGAAGAGCATCAGGCCGTCGCTGCCGGTGGTCTTGAACTGGAAGAACAGGTGCATGGAGGCGTAGGCCTGCAGCGTGGCCAGCGCCAGATAACTGCCTTTACTCCTGAAGGTGATGGGGTCGGCGATGATGTGGCGCAGGCCGAAGCGTGCGTTCAGCTCGCAGTAGGAGATGTCCCCGTTCTTACACTGGTCCAGGTAGGGGACGCCGTTGAGCAGCAGCCCCTGCAGGTGCCCGATGAAGTTTGAGGGCACGACGGAGATGAACCTGCGCTCCGTCATGATGCCCGTCTCGATGCTGTGGAACTCCAGACGCGTGTGGTCACCCGTCATCTGGCCTGCAGACGCACACGATGAGGAGAAGAAACACTTTACTGACCCCAGAACAGCTCAGCGGAACAAGCACACTGTTTAAAGGGCTCCTATTGTGCAGAAATCCCCTTTATAAGGGGTGTAAACCCAGTAGTGTGTGTGTCAGCAGTGTGTGAATGTCTCCAGCAGCCTCTAATGGTCAGCATGAATGAATGGGGTTTGTTCTAATCAGACCTGATACCAACAGTCTGCAGAAACACTCTGATTGACATTCTGCCTTTGTACAGAAAGCCCCGCCCACTAGTGCCCATGTGTCCATCTCATTAGCATAAACGGCAGGCCTGAGTGAGAAGCAGCCGTCTGTCCATCAGCCATTAGAGTGTTTGAGCTGCTGAAGATAACGTCAGCATAGACTAAGAGGATTATAGATGTGGAGTTTTAGCTGAGGCACAGAGGAACAGGAGTCTCCACATCTGTGATACTGGTGTAACTCTTGCCTTCCACAGTGACGTTGTCCACGGAGAGCTGCAGGTTTCTGCCCCGCCGCACCACCTTGACTGAGTGCCACTCGTTATCATTGAGTTTCTGACCCGCAGTCAACATCTCTGGACCCTTACCTGCAGCAGAGAGGGAGAGAGAGAGAGGTCACACACACACACATGCATGCACTGACATACACATACATACTTACACATACACACACTCACGCACATACATACATGCACGCCCATACATACACACACAGTCAGATACTCAGTTGCTTGCATACACACACACACGCATACGTACACACACACAATCACACATATGCACACACACACCCACACACACACACCCACACACACACACTCACATATACACACACACACACACACACACACACACACACACACACATATACTCAGACACACACACTGTCAAGCATACACACACACACACACACACACACACACACACACTACTAAACCAACAAAATACATACGCAGCCCCGTAACAGCTTCTTAAATCAAGGTAATGAGATCAGGGGCGACTTGGACGGGCCTCCCATGTGTATGTCAGAGAGCACTGTGACAAGAGATAAGGCTCCGGCAGGAAGCTCTGAGAGAAAGGAGGAAAACCCCTTGGTGCAGGAGGTGGGA